CTAAAATTTGAATTATAATCTACAATTTGATACCAAAGTTATTGACATAAGTTTGGTATCAAACTGTAGATTATAACAAATTTTAGTACTATGTATTACCCAATCCCTAATTTAAAAGCAAATATATAAAAAAACAGATAAACATTGATTTTTGTGTGTCACATGGTATATTGAATGCAGACACATTGAACAGTGTCTAACTGCTATCCCCATCATTATAAGTTGTAAATCACTCTGAGAACATGCAGCTCACGTTATTGACAAGTTTGGTATCAAACTGTAGATTATAACAAATTTTAGTACTATGTATTACCCAATCCCTAATTTAAAAGCAAATATATAAAAAAACAGATAAACATTGATTTTTGTGTGTCACATGGTATATTGAATGCAGACACATTGAACAGTGTCTAACTGCTATCCCCATCATTATAAGTTGTAAATCACTCTGAGAACATGCAGCTCACGTTATTGACAAGTTTGGTATCAAACTGTAGATTATAATTCAAATTTTAGTACTATGTATTACCCAATTCCTAATTTAAAAGCAAATATAAAAAAAACAGATAAACATTGATTTTTGTGTGTCACATGGTATATTGAATGCAGACACATTGAACCGTGTCTAACTGCTATCCTCATCATTATAAGTTGTAAATCACTCTGAGAACATGCAGCTCACATTACGCTATCAAATTACATTACCCAGGAGCTGCTCTGCTCCAGTGCCTGCCTCATGAACCATTTTAATTATATTATTTTGATTGCTTATTTTACCTAATTTAGTCCTAAATAACTTAAGATCCGTAGTTTTAGATTTTAGTTACTTTTATAATAGTAAATAAATAATAAGTATGAAAAACAAGAAATAAAGAGCTTACCCGATGTTCTCCTTTTTTTTGCCCTCAATTGCCAAGGAGAGTTATGCCTGATCATTTTTTTTTTTTAATAGTGATTATAGTAAAGCACTTAATTCTTATTTAATTAAGTAATACACCAAAGAATATAGACTAATAACATGCAAAAAGTAGACAAATTCACTTCTAAAAATTTTCCTGACTTTCTAACTATGCGACAAAAGCCGTAACAAGTACATCCAAGCTAGTCGTTGCTACTCGGTTATCTGTTCAGAACACAACATTATACAATATGCCATTTGATAGATGAAAACTCTGACTTTCTATTGGTTATAGGTAATATATAATGAAACATAAGAAAGAACTATCAATGGATTGTGAAAGAGAGGATGTGGCAAGAGGGGTCTGATTTTCTATTCGATAGCTCTGTAACCAAACAAAATTAAAGTCTACAAAAATTATGGTCTGTATGATTTTATGAAGAGTATTTTTCGTTTAATTTCGTACATTTTCGAGGGGTGATGGATAAAATAGGGATGATGACATGCCGAGACAAAATGTGTCGCAATAGTGGAAATTCAGGATTTTTTTTTATATATTTCCTTGTGGAATTAAGAACTTAAAATTTGTGTACTATTTAAATATGGATTATTAGGTAAGATTTTGCTATTCTAATTGATACAACATAAACAAAAAGTAGTTTGATAAAATTTAGAATGTAAGACAAACTTTGTCATGCACAGTGAAGTGCACCTGGGCCGATAGGGTTAAGCTATATAGTTTCAATAGTGAAAATAACATAAAATATAAAGTTTTTTTTCTTAACAAACATCTGCAGTTTATAAAGGTTTTGCAAGTGAAATTTGAAAATTTTCTGATGCATAAGTATTTTTAATCTTGAAATAAAAATTACTTTGCATGTTGCATTCGAAAAGAAAAAAAGCATGAGAAAAACATTACTCAAAATGTCTTAAAACTTAATTAAAAATCTGATATTGTGCATACAAAATTCTTGTAATGTTTACTGATAATCTGCAAAATTTCCTTAAGATATACTTACTAATTCAAAAGTTATAACATGAAAACTATAACAAGCACAAAATGGTTACGAGGTTGGTTTGTGGAACAAGTCCATGCTGAATGAGTTAACTAGCAAGTGTTGAAAGGCTGTAGAAATTTGCTCACTGGCAACCTGGTCAAATTATGTCCCATTTTTTTAATGCTATTCAATTTTGTCAGTGGTGTCTGTCTCACTTAAATCATCATGTGACTTATTTCCATGCCTCGTTACAAATTAATTCCACTACAGCTCTTTTTGCTTTTAAGGTTGTTCTCATTCCCAACAATCAAAGTGAATGTGGCAATCTGGTTAGAACATTGTTCAAATTCGATCAGTTGAAATAAAAAATGCCTGTTCATGTTTTGGCCTCCAGTATTGAGTTTCTGTTGCCTGAATCTTTAGATTGTGTTATTTACCTTTATAATAAGCTACAAGAAGGTAAAGAGTGTCCCGGTGGACAACCCCTGGATCATCGTTTCCACATGCATGTTTTGGTCCCTGAACTGACCTTGATTATGTACTTCTCACGTTTTTATTTTTTATTATTATTAATTCAATTAATTTCTGACCTTCCACGTTGGATTTAACATAATATAAAGATATTACTGGTATTTTCAATATTACAAAAAAAAGGTAATTACTTTTTATGGTTGTCACAAAAAGTAGTGTTACAATGGATCTATGGTCATAGAAATGTTCCAATTTATAAGATTTGACAACTATATAAATAGTAAACCTATTTTAGTTAATTAGGTAATTTTAAGAAACTTCGCTATTTTTTTTTAAGTAGTGTGATTAGTGATGGTTATGGTAGTCTTAGTATTTTTATTTCTGTAGGGAGGGTTTGGCATTTTTGTGTATTATATTTTCATTATTACATTTTATGTATTCTTAGTACCCAAAAGTTAAAGATACAAGCATGAGCATTCCAGCATAATGTTACAATAAAGTGATCTAGCTATTATTATTTTTTCATCATGTCTGCTTAACAGAATACACAAGATGAACAGGAGGGATAGTGGAACACGTGTCTTTGTTGGAGGTCTTACAGAAGATATCCAGAAAGAAGACTTAGAGATGGAATTTGAGAAGGTTGGAAAGATTGTTAGTGTTTGGGTAGCACAAAATCCACCTGGTTTTGGGTTTGTTGAATTTGATGACAGAGAAGATGCTAATGAAGCAATAAATGCAATGAATGGTCATCTTATAAAGGGTGCAAGAATCAGAGTAGAAATGTCAAGAGGAAAACGTGGTGGGCGAGGAGGAGGCCGTGGGAGAGGAGGATTCCGAGGAGGGCGTGGTGGTGGTTTTAGAGGTGGTGACGGAGATTATGATAGGCGAGGCCCATCCTATGACTCGTACAGAGGAGACGGCAACTTTTCTCGCAGGGGTGGAGGATACAGGTCTAATGATGGAAGAGGTATTGTTTATAATTTTGACTCTTAGATAGAGGTTATTCTTAATTACAACATCTCTGGACCAGATTATTCTGCAGGTTCTCTGTCGCTAAATCTGGCTTTAGATTGAAAATATGTTTAAAATCAGTAAGTCATGGGCCACATAAAGAATGTCCTTTTTGAACTTAAATTATTCTTCTAGCATGTCAGAAATGATACAAGATAAAACTGACCAGTTGGTTAAATGCAGGTATTTCATGTTGATCTAACTTGGGATATTGCAAAAAAGTGTAAAAAATTAAGACATTCTATAAAATTGCTTCTGTATTTGTTTAAATGTTTCTTACCACCACCCCCTTTCTAATTCTTTAAAAATATTGTGAAAAGGCTCCTATAAAAACAAAAACCTTTGTTACAATATCTTTGAGATGATTATTTTTAGATGTCTTCCTTCTATGGTTTTTGATTCTGAGTTACTTAGTAGTATCATAAAAATTTGAGGTACTCTTATGAATTAACTGTTGTTTATTTCATTTAATTTCTGCATATTTTTTTATATATTTTTTCCCATTTCTTTCTCTCCAAAGACCCGATTAGTCTCTTAATTTAATAGTCTAAAATAGTAAGAGTATCAAGCATTGTAAAAGCATAACAAAACTTTTTTTTATCGTGTTTGGATAGAAACTTGTGTAATAACATCATAACAGTGGAGAAATAATTTCAAATTAATGTCTTTTATTAGATTTTTCTTTCTCTAAATATGTTGTTTATATTCCATTTTATTGAATGTTTATTATATTCTATTTTATTGAATGTTTATTATATTCTATTGTGATACTGCTTCAGTAATACAGATCAAGTTTTCTTTTTCTTTAGAAAGTCCCTACTGAGATTTGAAGTAACTTCAGAAGTACAGTCATCTGTCAGTAAGACACCCTTGTTTTTTATCAAGGGTTGTTATATATTCTGCTAGAGAAAGGTGTTGCCACTCATCTTGTGATTTTGTTTTATTGTTGCCTAATATTTTCATCTCCTCTTTCATCTTTTGGTTGTCATTTTTTTCCAAAACTTGTTGAAAGCAACAGAGTATCAAACTTCAGATATTTTGTATCTTTATGAGGCTATATCCTGTGGTTTTCAACAACTTTAGGGTTTAATTTTGAAGTTAATTAAAAATAAATATAATGTGTCTTTTTTTATTTAGTTGATTATGTCGACAACTGTCAATCCTTGACAGATTTTTGTATTAATTAACTTATTTTAAAGCTCGTGTTTTTCCAGTTCATAAATCACCTAAATTTTTGTGCAAAAATTAAAAACTTCTTTATCCCCCTGTATTTTTACAGACATTGTAAGAAAATCTTTGTTCTTTTGTCAGTCTTGATTGAGCTTCAACGATTGTACATAGGGAGGTGTTAATATTTGCCTGTAAATGGTACAGAAACTGATAAGGCTTTTTTTTTTTTTTAAGAGTTTGAAGAGACTACTGGGAAAAGTAGTATCATAAGCCATGAAGTTTTTGCATTGAGCTTATGTCAGAAATAAATATTTCTCTAACTTTCACATATACAGTCTCAATTTTGACTAAAGAACTTTTACAGTACTACAGACTTTAATTTGTTGCTCTAAGGAAATGGTTTGTATAAGATGCAAGTTATAATCAAGGTTTACGTAAAATGCAATGATTCTTCAAAACATCAGATTTGTAGAACAACCAATAGACTGTTATTCTATATGACTGTATGCTACATGGTAAAGTATTCATCTCAGATAATTCTGAGCTAACAAACTTTGCAAATATGCTTGACAGTTTGTACTGCTTCTTCAGCCACAAATTCAAACTGGGGCTGTTAAGATGAAGTAAGTTTCTATATCAAACTTAATGCTTGTCACAATCCAGTGTCTGCTCTGAATCAAAATATCCACTGCTCTGCTAATTTACCAGTATGAACTGTGCTGTAGTGTCATGAAGAGGACAACCCTCAGCCCAATTGGTTTGTCAGAACCAGTACATGTATTTTTACCTTAATCTTTTGTTGACAAAGGTCTTCCAGTATCCATGTCTGTTCTATGCAATGAAGTACCTACTATTGCTTTTCACAGTTTGCCTTGAAGTAGCTAACTTCTAGGTGGTGCACATGGTACTGTGTTTGCACCATTTTCCCCATCCTTGCATAACCAATAAAATTGTCTTCATAATTTGCTCATGGTGCATCATATTTGTTATCCTCCGGATTCTTGTGGCTGGATATTTTTTTAGATCATGTAATTGAAGTTGGCTCTTCAACATTCAACCTTGGTTCATGTTTCAGCAACTGGCCAAATGTCCACCAAAAGTGCTATTGATGTTTCATCCTAGCATTGAAGAATATGTAGCAAGCTGACAGATCAGATCACCACAGGGCGAGTTCAGGTGTGTACCAGCTTGCCAGTTTCTACAAAGCATGCCTTCCCCCTTACACACACCTCATTGGCTCAGTGGTAAGTCTGCAGAGTTATGATGCTAAACATTTGGTTTTAATACCCATTGTTAGCAGAGTACAGACAACTCATTGGGTAGTCTTGTGCATAACTAATAAAACACACTAGTGATGAATTCAAATTCGATGACAAGGAACCCACTTTGAGACTAATAATGGTTGGAGACTGCTTGAATGGCTAATGAAGAAAAACTTTAATATAAGTTTAACATAACAGCAAATGTACAACGTTTCGACAAGGTTTTGTCTGATGATGACGAAACGTTGGACATTTGCTGTTGTGTTAAACTGATAGTTTTTCTTCATTACCCATTCAAGCTGTCTCCAACAATTATTAAAACACACTAGATTTTTCTGCCACCATGGATGATCTAAGTCATGAGTTGATGCTCTTAGTTTAAGGGTGGAGGGAAGAATCTAATGGGGGGGGGGGTGCATAGCTGCACCTCCAGAATAGAGTTCTGTCTCACTCCTTGCTTATCTTTTTCATGTTAGCTCATCTAATAATTTCATCTTCTCAGCTATAACTTTGTGGTCCATGGCAAAAGGCACAATATTTACTGCCTGTAAAGAAAGCAAATGATATATAATTGTCTAAATAGGCATTTTAAGTCACCCACTTTCAATCGCAAATAATCCATAGCTATTTCCTATTCTGGGAACTAAATTTATTTAAATTTTCTGACACTGGTAATGAACAGTAGATCTTTCAACATAACCAGGCATACTTAGGAAAGAGTGAGATGAATTTTGAAGATGGTGGTAGATAAGACAGAAAAACACTTGTCTTGTTGCAACAGTTGGATGAAACGTTGCCTAAATGGACAACACGATGGGATCTGACCAGCAGGACAAGTGGAATGAACAAGCTGATTGCTGGTGTAAAGCAATTTTAAGTCTACATGTGAATGCTACTTATAAAAGTTTGACCTTTGGTCTGCAGTGGGTAGAATATAACTGTTTTGAAATAAATCAAGAATTAATTCTTAGTTCATGACTTAGGGTGAGATTAAAAGAATGACACTTTACAGCAGCAGGAATGATGTGTTGAAGGATATTTGCCAGAAATTTCTGATTTAAACACATTTAAATTAAACGTTTTTATGATGAGCATTTTCAAAAGTCTAATAAATACAAATTACATACAATAATGAACACTTGTGATGAAGCTTAAGTTAATAATACTCATCATCTGTGGAACTTGACATTGCAGACATTTAGGAACTTTGTGTTCACTGATACAAACTGTATAGTTTCTCACTTAAACATTATTTAATGCATTTTATTGTCTCAACTGTTCATTTAAAAGATAATTTTAAATGTTTAAAATATATAAAAAAAATTAGTTATTTCCTCTTGCAAATGAAAAACAAAAATAAAATACCGCACAATCTTTTTAAATGATAATGTTAGTTTGAAACTCCCTCCCAAAGTGTTAAAAAATCAAATCAGTATTCTACATCATATATCTTAATCATTTACGAATTAATGTTAAAAATTCTTCTCTTGTCTTCGGATCTTCCCGGAAATAGCCGAGCATAGTGCTGGTCACGGTTTTGCTGTTAAGTTTCTGAACACCACGCATCACCATACACATGTGGCTAAGTAAAAGAAACAATTATTATTTAAAACCACTCGTCATATAATACAAAGGAATACAGTAATGTTGTAGTGTCTAGGGATAATAAAAAAATCAATGTTTTAATATAAATTTGCAAGATGATCTTAATGTAGTGAGTCCTTAAGAGAAAAGTAACAAACATGAAGTATTTGTCAAAGTAAATTAATCGTAAAGTGTTTCACTCAACACTAACCAGTAAATTACCCTCTGTAATTATTATTGTCCAAGATGATCTTTGATAAACTTCATTTGAATTTTATTAAGGCAAATATTAATTCACATTAATTAAAGGGCAAAATAAATGTAGAAAAACAATGTATTGTCTTTGGGGGCGGAACATGTGACTGAGGAGGCGAACCTGATTCAAATCCATGCATTTTAAGAGTGAAGTTAATCCCTTAGTGTGGATGGTAGGGTACTGTTGACTAGCTACCTTCCATCTGACCAGTAAATAAAAATGGTGGCAGATTACGTTAGTGGGTTTGCCATAATATTTCATTTTGTAGACTTAAAGGGACAATTCAGAATTTTGCACAAAGCTATAGAACTTCTCACTGCTTATAACTGTCCATAATTTTAAACTGATATAGTAGAAAAGAGTCATCTGGTGAATGGTAACCACCATTAATTCTTGGGTTACTTCTGTCTGATTGAATAAAGGGGATTTAACCATCGATCTTGTATGGCCCCAAATTTGTGGTGAGGGGTTGGTAACAAGGCATGCTAATTTCTGATCCATTCTTGGCACTTGATGGTGTAATACTATGATATCAAATTAAAAACTTGTTACTTACCTAGCTTCAATAACGACTCCCACTCCTGTAGGGTTGATCGCCTCCACGATAGCAAGGGCAATCTGTTTTGTCAACCTTTCTTGAACTGGTGGAGAAGTAATGATTAACTTTATATAAATATTGTATGTAAGCATTTACACACCAATACAATCGTAACCACCCTGCAAAAATATTACTTCAAGTTGTGATAAATAACTGAAACTGTCTTTATTTTTCACAATTTAGAACTATCATCTAAGGGTCTTCGTTTCACACAGTTAGTTATCCAATTGGGGGGCACTGGTAATCAACTATGTTATATTCTTTGTTGACATGTTTGCTGCAGTAGTACTAGTGGTTGTAGTGTGGAGTTTTAGTTTATAAATGCCATTTACCGAGTTTTATGTATCAGGTTGTAAAGATGTTGGTGAACAGGTTTTTCCAATATCAAATTAAAAAATCACAGAAATTTTGAGGCAGTCTGACAGGGCATATTGCACCATGTGCCTTTCTAAACTGATACTGTATAACGATACTATACAAATTTGTCTCTTATCTTTTGTAAAAAATACTCTTCTTGAACAGCTAGATTGAAAATAGTTTTTGATAAAATTGGGTCTAGTTTTTTCAGCATTGCATTAATGGATTCATCACTTCGTTCAGTAGTTATTTTTAAACTTTGGTATACACAACAGAATTGCAACCTCGACCCCGAAAGTAGTAGTGATTATTGTGATGTAGCAGCAACACCATATGCTTATCTAATTTAAAAAAGCTTACAAAATGTGGCGTGATATCATCATTCCTTGATTGTTAGTGCACTTACTAACAACGGTGTAGCGTCAGCATCAATAATTCTGTAGGGTGTGGCAACTAAATACAGGTACATTGCATAAATCAAAATTCCACGTTTCTCTGTGTTTCTCTTAATGTACCTTAATTAATACATTCAAACTTAATGTTGTATATGTTAACCTATGTATTAGTTTATACATATCATTGTAAATGGTTGAATTCACCAAAATTAGTTGTCAGTCTGTTGGACCCGGTCTCCATTTTCCGATTCATACCTCTTGTATATAATTAGGCCTTTTTCTTTTTTTATACATAGTTCACAGTATCAAAGCTTTCTCATCTACGACTATTTGTTTTGGTTTTATAGAAGAATAAAAATTAATCCTACCGGTTTTTACCAGTATATATATTTTTCCCTTACATAATTTTGTTCCTTGCTTCTTTAGTTTTCGGTATACTGTACTTCTCTTATTTTGCCATTTTCTTGTAAAGCTTGCTGAAGATGGTCTTAAATGCATTTTGTTTTGGTAGAGACAATATGAAACTGTTAGAGAAGTCTAGCTTTTAAATATAGGTTCTTATAACAAAATTCCATTGTATTTCTCACAGAAAGCGTATGACGACATTTTAAAGGTAAATTAAGGTATTTTAGTCTGAATACACTTGTATATAGGTGACAAATTTCGCTCAAAGGGAATAATGACCACCACATGTCATTCATTTTAAACTAACAATGGTGTTAATCTTTACTTCTGGTCAAAGCAAGTTACCTACATAGATCAGACTTTAAAATGTAAGCTACTAATGACCATTCCTAATTAGATACGAGGTTCATAACTATATTTGTTATATATGTGATCAGTTTTAACATATTAGCAATGGATAAAACTATTTGTCCCATATTATGAATATTATATACTACAAAACCTGTTTTATTCGTGTTTCACTACTATGGAGTTTCCTCGTCCATTGTGAAAATATGGATGGCATTTGAAACTTGCCTAAACACTTACAGTAACTTTGGGTTGTGTCAATCCATACTTGATTACAATTGACATTAAAATATATAGTGTTTTCAAAAGGTTTAGAAATAATTGTACATTAAAGGGAGTTGTATTTATTTAACTATATATTTAAATTTTATAAATCTTCTCACGTTAACATACCTTGTAGACGTCTACTGTAAATTTCGACTAACCTGCTCAAAATAGACAAAAATAAGTATAATCAGCACAGTAAATCAAAAATGGTAATCTTTAAGAAATATAAACTAAGGGCTTAACATAAGTCCTAATTCAATTATTTAGTTTCCATGACAATAGTCGATTGTGCTCAAATTAATTTTTTTATATAATACTTTAATAAATATACTAATATTTCACTTATAATTTAAGCTTGAATACCTATGCCATACTCCAATGTATCTGGGTATGCTTATAATATGCAAATACTATGACGTTATGAATACAAATGCACTTGTTACCTTGCCAACTTGCTTAAACCTAGAACTTTCTTGTCAGGAAGATATCCAATGGAGACCTGAAAATAAAGAAGTATTTCTTATACACATTGCTGAACCGTAACACCGTTTTCTTATGTATAATATATGGGAAAAGTACCGTTTCTTGAGTATTTAGTTAGCTTTTAATTTATGTGGAAGATGTTTCAAATAAAGTTTACATTTTTGTTGCTACAATAAGTTTTTAAAAAACGAAAAATAGAAGTCGGATACCCGCCCACAACCTTTCCCAATATTCTATGAAAGTAACGTTATTCATACGTCAGTTGTAGCTTGATAAACCACGTATGATGGTAGAATATCAGGACTCAACATACAAAAACGAAATTTGGTTTTCCGCCAGAAATACGTGATATTTCCTTCCATGTATGCTTCGACTCTTGCATAAACTGAACTTTCTTGGGCTCTAAAGGTAGCGTTAGCTTCTAATGGATAATTTGATTAAAAGCTTCTAGCTTTGGTAATGGTGAAGCACCTTTGTCACAACAGTAATTAAATGTACATTATTGTTATAGATCTGTCGAAGCAACTGTAAACCAATTCAAAAATACAATGTCATCTTTTGTTTTTAATTATTACAGTGTTTTGACTCGTAATCGGGCAAGACTTACAATAAAAAAAAAAACTCCCAATGGCTTAGCAGTAAGTCAGTGAGCTTATAACGTTAAAAATGTCTAACCTTTCCAATGAACGGCACCAGGTGGTGCTCACACATAGAGAACATCTCAATATCCTTGACTATAACCATCTCATCGTGGTCTTCATGAAATATAGCGTCGTTGACCACATCTGAAAGGAAAAAAAATAAGTATTTAAATAATGGCAAATATTTATTTTTTTATTACTACAATTAAATCAGGTTAATTATTTGAGTGGTTACACGCTCTTTTAATAAAGAACATTCATAATTCTATTTCTCTAAACTTTTACACTAACATTTTAAACTTGTGTAACTGCACTGGTATTACATATTTTTATGTTTGTCTTCGATACTATTGGGTTGTGTGATCAGTTAAAAAAGACCAATCACAAAAGGGAGCCAGTGCGGCTTTAATAGTTAGCATTGCCCACTGTGGACCCATAGTTACCGCCTAGAAAAGAAAAGTGCTTTGGGTCCATGAGTGTTATAAGGGTGACAGTAAAATCTCACTATCCACTTGGAGTAGCTCACGAGTTGGCGGCGAGTGTTGTTGACTAGCTTCCTTCTTTTCAGTCTAACACTTCAAAATTTAATTATGTCTAGTGCATATAGTTGCTCTCGGGTAATTTTGCGCGAAATTCCAAGAAAAACATTCAATCCAACTATCTGTAGCAAATAGTAACTTTGGCCTCTTAAAAATGAGTTTCATATGTTTACGGTACAGAAAACTAATCAAAGTCTTGAATAATATTGGACACTACTACGGTAGGTGAAGGAAATCCTTTCATGGCTATCCAAAATGCTATGTGAGCACAGGGAAGGTGGTAGTTGGGGTTGTGAAACAGTGCTGGCGAAATATTCATAATATGGAAATTACCACAAGGACTGGCCTAGTTTGTGAAAAGAGGAGAGTGCCGTCTATGTATGGGTCGTAAAAATCCCGCTTTAAAATTATAGTTTTTACTTAGTCTGTGGTATTGTGATCCATATTTGAGATGATAATAGAAAAATCGCAAAATGTGGATTCCGGAAATGTTAGGCAGAGAATAAATCGGACAGCAAAAGGAAAAAAAAGTATATAATATTTTATTCACATTGACCAATGTTTAAGTATCTCATTTACTGCCCGGTTTCTAATTTCCTTTTAATTTAACTAGTTGGTGTTGAGAGGACAAAGTTGTTCCAAATCCTATCTGAAAAGAACAAAGGAATTCTGGTTTACCGCCAAAATTCAGATAAAAACGTTAGAATATAGTATACTAAAATTCAATGCTGCTTAAGTCACTAGCTATTTTATATGACATTTACAGGGGAGGAAAACCCTTAACTCTTATCAATTTTTATAATAATATGCACCACCCTTTTTTCGCGGTCGGTATATGGAAGCTTTATCCGAGTAAAATAATTAGTAGATGTTCATTACTTTTGATATTCGATTAACAAGAATGTCATTGCACGAAAATTGAGAAGAGTCTAAAAAAATGTGCATCTTGAACTAGTTATGGAAAGGTGAATATCATGACTATTACAGTAATAAGAAGTGGGAACCTTTAGCATGATCTCTTTATCATATTAATTTACAATAATTTTTTTTCTTTTTGTATAACTTTTAGGATAATTTCGTTGTTTTACACAAATACGGAGAATAAAAATAATTTTAACTCCATTTGTTTTTAGCGCAAAGCTATCTAAACTAATAATCACAAGGAATAGGACTTCGAATTTTAGCGTTGTAAGTCTATAAACCTATCGCTGAACCTCTGGGAGCCAAAACTTAATGGTACAATATTATTTAATGCTCTGTATTATATAGTTTTAATCATTGTATCAAATATTGGAGGTCTTGATAAGATAGTTTTCTTCAAATATATATGACACTCTATATACAGCTTGTGTTTCCAGTTTAAATTATTTTTTAACACAAGGAAAGAAAAACAATACTGCTTGGAACACATTATTGAACAGTCATACCGACTATGGAACAGAGAAAAATATCAGCATGTGTGCAAAACCTAAAGAAAGCATTCCGAAGTTAATGCCCGTGTTTCCTTATATAAATCTCGTGTTTGCATAAACGACGATTATCAAAGAAATATTCTACCACTAGCAAGTGAATGTGCTTGAGCTTGATTTGAGACTTGAATATGTGATATTACTTATTCAAGAATAAATAGTTAACACCTGAAGAAGATTTAACAAGTTTTGTTAGTATAATCTAGACTCGTGTGAAAAGGAAGAAACCCACAGACAGCAGTTATAGAAATACCAAATAAAATTCCTTAAGATGAAAATGATACACAGATGTGGGAAACTTCGTAGTTAAGCTCTTGATCGGACTAGAGAACCTCAGAAATTTGAATATACGGAGGTAGAGAAATACAGACCTGAAATCGTTATTTTTTCTGATAGTTGACCAATTACGTTCGGGAAAACAGTTAGTGACAGCCCTATCATCCAATGTGACTTTTGGATCGGTAACTTCATAAGGCGAGAATGGTAATCACCAAGATACATAAAGAAGTTAGAAGACAGAAACCGATGAAACAAATCTCAACACAAGTTTTGCAAAACTTAAAATATGGGTTTAAAACCTTACTCCACAACCATAGAAAGAGCATTTCATTTTAAAATATAACTAAAATTACACAAAGTGTGTGTGTGTGTGT